GGATGCAGGGATGGTTCTACATATGAAAGACCATTAGCATTATTCGTCACATTGACATGAAAAACTGTAAGAACCACACGTTAGATTCTTATGGCGGAGCTCAGCCATCTTATTTTTCCACTTCAAACCCAGATGAGGAAAAAAATCCATTTCAATGAAAAAATATGACAGCACTGACAAACTTGGTTAGTCACACAATCTGCTGGCTGGAATCCCAGCACTACGAACCCTCGGGACCAGCTGGCCTTTGACCCGGCTGCTTGCTGTTTACCTCTGATGATCTGGAATGGCTGGGCCTTCTTTTCCGCCCTATTCTTAACTTACAAGCCGATTTTATTGCATACACACTCTGGCTTAATTGCTGCACATGCTCCAAGTTTTTAATCAAGAGACAAAAAAATTGGTCTGAAAAGGTAATTCAAGTGACTCCGATATCGGAAACAAGATTCAGAAGCTTGCTTTGATGGAACTGTTCAAATGGGTTGTCAATCCAACCACGTTCTCATATCAAAACATTGATTGTTTCTTCTAATGAACACTCAGGATGGAAATATCCTAAGTTCTGAAATAAAGAATCTGTCCAGGAAACACAACCCTGACAGAGGGAACTTTGAAGATACTCTAGTTTTGATGTTCTTTTATTTCAACCAGTGGGACAGTGACTGACTTCAGGGAGAAGTTTTCATGCCACCAATATTAAGAATTTTTACTTCAATCCCTCCCCGCTATCAACCTACCACACTAAAATGCTAATTTAAAATTTCAAATAAACTACAATTGTACCTACAATTCATTGTTACAGCATTAAATGTACTCCACACAATGCCATTAATGTTTTGTCCATAAAGTTTAGAATGATAAATACAATAACATATGATAAATACTAGGCAGATTCAATAGTTCAGGGAAAATATAACTAAAAAGTAATGGAATCTCATTACAAATCTGCTGAAGCCTCTTTATATATAAAAGAATCACTAAGAATTCATAAATAGTTTTCTTACAGAAAAAAATGGCTAACTTGTTTTTATTATAATAAATGTTAGTAATCACTCCTCTAGTATTTGGTAAAACTAAATCCTGCAAGGGTTATACAACTAGCCTTGGGCTTCATAATTAATTGATAAAATCAAGAGTTGTACGAGCCCCCAATAACATGACGTTTAAAAAAAATCATGTTTTCCAGTCATCAAGGGGCTCAATTAGATCTGGACTAATGGAAGTAAAATAAGGACTGTATGTTTCCATTCATATGGTGAGTCAAAGTGGTTGGCTAGGTTCTAACTCCTTCAATGAAATAGTCACAATCCTTCTTTCTACCTTAATGAAAGTAAATTGAGAATCTTAAAGGAGGGGCCTCAGGTATCACCAGACAAATGACTACATGAAAGCCATTCACAACTCCAGCATCCCTTGTTTTAGCTGTAGGGATTGCCATGGTAAAATAGGCTAATTCTGGCTTCCCAGGCAGCTAGCAATGACCATCTGATAAAATGACAAAACCAAGCGTATACACAGATGTCACTGGAGAAGGCCTTTAGCCCTTGGTTCTCTGGCTGCCAGAAATGTGGACATGACCCCTAGAGACACAGGCCTCACCTTGGTTCCATGTGAAGAAAAGCCAGAAGGTGACAAGGGCAGACCAAAGAGACAGACGGGAGTTGACTCCCTGACACACGGGAGAGCCATCCTACTACCCCAGCCTGCCACTCTTTGGATTTCCTTAGGTCAAGTTTAAAGCTATGCGGTTGGTTTTTCATGCAAACCTACTAGGAAAAATAAATCTGGCTCCACGTCTATTTGGCTCCAAGGTATACGTCCAGCTATCATTTCTTACACAGCTAAATTTTATCAATCAATGGCTAATGTTCTTCACTCCCACTCCTGTTCTTCCCACCAGGCCACACTGTTTTTTAAACGATCAATGATAGAGACCAAGGTCTCTTCCTTAAAAAGGAAATGAAAATGTTTTTCTTATGAGAGGTCTCCTTACAGCAGATGGCAGAAGTCAAGACTGCCTTGGAGGCAGATGGAAGAGGAATGGTTTCATTCCTGAACCTCAGTCCTGGCAGTACTTACACACAGACAAACCCACAGAAGGAACGACAAACGAATGCATGCTGAGTCACCATCTTTTACTGGGAAACTGAGCACAAATGCCCTCTCTTTATTCCCCAAACTCACTGCCATCAAGTTGATGCTGACTCACAGTGACCCCATAGGACAGGGGAGAAATGTCCCTGTGGGATTCTGAGCCCGTAACTCTTTTCAGGAGTGGAAAGTCTATCTTTTTCCCGAGGAACGGCTGATGGTTTCAAACGACTGGCCTTGTGATCAGCAGCCCCACGCAGAGCCCCTACCCGCCCAGGGCCCTGTTACGGTATCGGTATTAGAGAAGATAAAGGTCATCCACTCCAGACCATTTCCAACCAGGTCTGAGACCGCCCTTACGAGAGAACACGGACTGAGTCTGAGCAGAGGCTCCAAGGGTTACTTATCTGAATGCTGAAAAAGACCAGGGTGGTTTTCATTCCTTTCTCAGTGTTTTCTTCATATTTTGCTGGGTATCGCAGGTCATGAAGTTAGAGCAATTGTTAATGTTCAATGGTATCATTCCAAAGGTATGAGGAAAGAACCAGTAACACAAACAAGCTAGGAACGAGTACTAGTTGCATGCCAAAAAAGAATTAAAAAATAAAGAAATGAATGTTATCTCTGTGGAAGATTGTCAAAAAGTTTTGGCACATTTCTTGAATCAAAGCTCACAAATCAAGATAAAATCCATACGCTGTTCTGGACCATTTCGCTATAATATGAGAGATTTCCCAGCCTCCCCGTAATAAATAGCTCTCTAGCTAACAATAAGTCTAAGGGGTATGAGTGCGGCAGTACAACAGGATATAACACTCCATGGTACACTCCGGTTCCTGTGAGAGTTCAAGGGAAGTGCCTTAAACTGAACAGGGTTACAGTGGGAAAAACTCAAATTGAGTCAAGTTCACTGCAACTCATAGCAATGTACTTCAAAGAGTGAATTTTGCACAAAAACGGCAGAAGTTAAGCAGGCAGCAAAAACTTATGGATACATATATTGCTAATCAGCTGCTGCAAGTGAAGCCACGCCCAATGGATACTGGGGGAAATGCATTTAAATAGACCTTTAGATCAGAACAGTTTCCAACGTTCAGATTTTTTTTTTTTAACATTTTATTAGGGGCTCATACAACTGTTATCCCAATCCATACACACATCAATTGTGTAAAGCGCATTTGTACATCGTTTCTCAAAACATTTTCTCTCCATTGAAACCCCCGACATTAGGTCCTCATTTTTCCCCTCCCTCCCCGCTCCCCCCTCCCGCATGATCCAACGTTCAGATTTAAATATGCAAGATTTGAAGTGTCCTAGTTATCGCCAAGAACCAACCAAATGCACTGTTATCGAATTCATGTCACCTCACAGCAACCCTGTAAGACAGGGTAGAACAGCCCAAGTGGGTCCCAGACTGCCGCTTTACGGGAGTAGAAAGCCTCCGGCTTTTATGTGACAAGGAAGTCCCCCTGGTGATCCCGCACCAGCAGAACTCCTCTTACAACAGCGCTCTCACAGATCACTTAAGCAGCGGATATTTTAAAAATGAACTACCATAATTCACATCAAACTATTCACCCACAAATTGATTATTAAAAAGCAGTCAAACTCTAAAAGATCAGTAATAATAACAATAAACATAAATAAATGGATCAAAGTCATTCTTCCACGCAGTCATGAAGTTTGGGCTGGTGTATCAGGTAATACCTCTGGGTGGAGTAGAGATATGATGCCCAGCATCACCCTACCTAGCACGTTTCCTGGAGGCACCTCTTCTAGATATTCCAGTTCTCTTCCCATCAGGAGATACAAGTTTTCCAGAGTACAGTTCGCCATGTGGGGCACTGGGGGGAGGTCATCAAGTGGCGCTGAGAAGCCTAAGGGTACCTAGGACAGGGGGGTAGACAGTAAACAAAGACACCTGTCAGTACCTACAAAGCCATCTGTACGCAAATGATACAGTGCAGCCACAGTACTTTAGGAATGACATTTGAAATAATAAAACCTGTCAAATATTTAAAATGTGTCAGGAATCTTCAATAATGAGATGCTTTCCAGGAAAGTAATATAATTCTGCTGTACTTGGCAGCACCACAGCAGTTGATAAACCATAAACCCACTGCTGCCTGGTTGATACTCATCCATATTCACCCAACAGGTCAAAGAAATCCTAAGATTTCTAAAGCTGTACTTAAAAAAAAAAATTTTATTGGGGGCTCGTACAACACTTATCACAATCCAAACATTCATCCAGTGTGTCAAACACATTTGTACATATGTTGCCATCATCATTCTCAAAACATTTTCTTACTACTTGAGTCCCTGGTATCAGCTCATTTCCTCCCCTCCCTCCACGCACCTCCATCCCCCTTGAAATGATCCAGGGCTGTATATCTTTACAGAAGTAGATTCCCTGACCTTTTCCTTGAAAGACTCTACAGCCCTCACTAGTCATGCGACCCGTCATGATTCACAGGTGTTAGCTCTGGTGGCTCCACTAACATTTCAACACTCATCATGATGATTATCATTGAAAGATTGTCTCTGTCTTCTTATAATGTCCTTTAAACAGTCAACAAGGTTGAGGGCTCGTGGTGAGTAATGGAGGAAAAGTATGAATTATGGAAAGAGTAGTTAGAGTAACAAAAAGGTCATGCAAAGAGCAATCACTTGTCATTAATGCTCCACTGTTAATCTGGGAGAGAGCAAACTGTGAAATATTGAACACACTGATGAGAAAACAGAATGTTCATACAGCAACAATAAGCTACAAGGGTAAGCGATTTATTAGTTCCTCCTAATATCATAGTCACTCTTACAGAGATACAGTCTCAAATTAGTCATGTTTTTTGAGCTGTGAAATCTTCATAAATATAAGGGAAGTAAAAAAAAAAAGTTGCTACTTAGGGTTTGGTTTCAAACAAGAATGCGTTCATTCCATATACAACATGTTTATACAAGTCTGTGATCAGTGGATGGGGCATTCAAGTTTGCTCAATAATACACTTGTCTTAGTCTGGAGGATGCTTTCAAAAAAAAAAAAAAGATTTAATCAAAGCAGTGACTTCGAAGGGAATCTGCCAGGCCAGTTAAATTCAGGCAGAGGGATCGGCTTTGAAAGTTAGAGGACACTCCTTTTGGAGTTCAAGTAGAGTAATCTTGATAGACTTTCTCAAA